CCTAAAACTTGTATACTATTAAAATATGGATTATCAGGTAAAATTTTAAAGTATGCCAATTGGTATAACATAAACAACAAGTAGTTTAATGTAAGACACAAAAACCTTTATCATTTGCAGTAAAGGATACTTATGGCAGTATGATTAAAAGGAGATTTGCATGGTGCTTAATTTCTTTTTGAGTGGATGTACAGGGACAGTCTTAAAAGGTCAAATGGTCCTTTGTTGTCCATGTGTTATGGTATTAAGATTAAAAGCCCAGGGGTTAATTCAGCTTATCAAGTAAGCCAGATCTCTCTGCAGAACTATAGCTATTTTGATACATCATGAAATACCCAATAATTTACTAAGTAGTTTTCATTTGTAATAACTTCCAGATTCTCTGGAGTTTGAAATTTGCCTTCATTTATTCCAGTCACATTCAGAAGCTAAAGTTACCACTTCAGGGGTCATGGATATGACTAGCGTTATCTCACAGGCTGCAGGTGCGGGTGACCAAGCATGTTTTTTTTTTTTTATTGGTGTTTATCTTCTGGTAGATTGAAAGTTAAAACAGTTCTCGCCCACAATTCCTGTTCGGATGGACGGAGATCTTGATAGCCTTTTCCACCACCGATTTTCAAGTGTGTGGTTCTTCATTTCCATTTTGTAGTCTCCCTTCCCAATACAGAGATTCTGTGTTCTTTTCGCATGTTTATATTGGCTTTCATTCTCATTACTTCATGGACAGTTTCCACCTTATTTAGTCGGGAGTTTGATCATCTAATGTCCAAACTTTCATCAGACCTCGCCTCATGCTTCGTGGTCCACCATTTGCCATACAGTCCACCGACTTTGGAAAGATAAGACATTTTGCAGTTTTATTGTTAATATTATTATCTGAGTTCCATAACATACACTTATTTAGATTAGTTAATACTAAGTTATGTTAAGATTCGTAATTAGTCTTAGTTGTTTTTCTTCTATACCGTTCGATTAAGCTTAACATGGTATGTCCTTCTATTTCATTTCATCAATAATCTTTTTCTTCACTTGGTTTGGGTGGAACCCTTGAATCGTGGCTGACACATACTTCTCACATATTGTGCCTATTTATTGTTCAGTTTTATTTTTCTTTTTGTTCTTAAGTTATCCTTTGTTCTGTACCATTCGATTATGGCTTAACTAGTTTTCGTTCTTTTCGACTTCACTATAGCTCTAGTTTAGATTTCCATGTTATTTTTGTTCACTGTCTTGTTGGAATCGGCTTTATTACTGTATTATTTATTGGTTTACCCATGGTTTTATTAACGGGTTAATATGTATTTAGTTTCTAGTTTTTCTTCACTGCTACTTCATATTGTTTTTCTTTATAGTTCTTTCTTTTACAGTTACTTTTGTTTCATCTCTACTTTATAATTATTACCTTTCATTTCATTTAGTTTATAATTTATCCTTCTTATCATTGATTAATTTATTGGTTTTCTGTAGTTTTATGGATAGGTTCATATCTACCATGGTTCCATATTTTTCTTCAACTCAACATCATAAGGGATGTATTCCCTACACCATCTTCTTTCCGTTTTTCACTACGTTGACTATTTCATTTTGTTTTTCTTTATAGTTTATACTTCTTACCATTAATTTAATTTATTTATAATTTATTCTTCATACCAGTAATTTAAATTTATGCATTAGTCACTGCTTCCACTATTGCTCATCTTCCCCCATATAATGGCTGAACCCATTTTCCAATGTTCTAAAATTGTCAGTTCTTCTATAGCAGTATCTGCTAGACCTACTTTATACATTTTCAGATACGTTTTGCAGAATATTATCTTCATGTTTTCTGTGCTGTTCCTTTTGTCTCTTTTTGGGTTTGGGTGCTTACAAGCCTTACCTTCTAGGCTTTCAATTTTCACCTTAGTTTAACTTCAGCCAGATTTCTACTGGCATTTGTCATTCTTTTTTTCCCATATCATTGCTCATACCTTTAATGTTTCATGTTTTCCTTTATACAGTGTTCTGTTTACATTTTATTTTGATGAGGGATACCTCCTCTTTCTTCCTTCCATGTTATTGTTTTTGCCATCTTCAGTTCATTCCCTCCTTGCATGGCTTCTTTGATTTTGAGTTAGTTTTGGGTGTGACACTGCTGTTTGTTTTCCTTTCCATTATTAAAAGGGTTTTACAGTCTGTTCCTTTTCTTCTCTTATCTTTTTTTTGGGGGTGTTGCTCCTGTGGATGGCACATTTTGCACTTCCTCTCTTTTCACATATTAGTTCTGCTCTTTTTGGCCCCCTCGCATAATATTCATATCCTTGCATGTCATTTTCTGGGTGCTCTTGCTCGGATCTCGGTTTGTTTTTCTCATCCCAACACATTATATTCATCGGAGTGGTCTCTCCTGTCTTTTCCTGTCTTCTGTGGGATTCTCCCCACATAAATCCCTTTACTACATCTCTTAGCCACCTATTACCTCTATTTGGTACCTGGTACCTCCTCCTCTAGCTAGGGCTGTTGATGCCTTCAGTTGGGATTGGTCCCACAGGTTCCTGTATTTTCATTTCACCATTCTCTTATTTCCATGGGTGATTTCCTTCATCCATACCATTATGTGTTAGGTCCTTTTTATTGCTCCATAATTGCTCAGCTGTGGTTTCTGTGACTTCTCCAGCTCCAATTTTTACTTCCACTGCCTCTTCCTTTGTCTCCTGCTCTTCTTTGTCCACTTTGTTCACCATTCGGACAATCACATACTTCGTTTTCACACTTGACTCTCATTCAATCGTTGGTGGGGAGATTGGATTTATACCTGCAAGTAGCTTTCTTTCAGCTATTCCATTCACTTTTCTTCAGTGGGCATTCATTGGTGTAAATAGAAAGTGTTTTGCAGTTAATCTACGAGTCAGGGATTTCCTGCAGATCGAACCCCTGTGTCTCGGGTGGCAGATTTCTCCCCTGGTTTTTCAATCATGGGTCTTTGGTCCCCTCAGTCTTGGGTTATTGGACAGCCTCCTCCCATACCTTTGTTGTTTTCCCAATAACACAGAGTTTTTACCTCACCTATCCTTTGTTCATACGTTCCTTCTGGATTAGTCGTCCTCCCTGATCGACTGCCATTCCAACCTGGGATATTAATGTGGTCTTTTTTTCTTTTGTTTGCATCACTTTCCTCATGTTCCATATTTCATCTTCCCTTCAAATATAATTCCTTCTCCTCTATGCCTGTGTATGTCGGCATTCGGATTTGTTTCGCTTGATGTTTCTTGTACATTTTTCCCATTCCCTCTCTTATACTTTATCCAGATTTTTCCTTCCTACCCAAGACATTGGCAGCTAGGGGAGGTAACTCCACCTTTTGCCTAATTCCCTTCCTTTTGTTTCCCATCTTTCCCATCCTCCTCTCAGTGCTGATCAACTCTTATGTACGGTCTGTGCTCTTCGTTGTTCTCATATTTTCTCAGTCTCTATGTTTACGATCATTATCATTTAAACATTTACACCTTGGATGCTTCCCATACTCATACATTGAGATTGTACACAAGACTGAACAAGTCATCTACTCTTACTTTCTACTAATGTAAGTGGGCTCTCTTCCAATGCATAATGAAAACAACAAGACCCACCAGATTGAGTGTAACATTACACACTACATTTCATATACAAAAAAAAAAAAAAAAAGACAAACTAGACAGCAATAGGTGTAGTCTTGACCTTATACTTGGCTCATGCTTAATGTTATTAGTTGCAGTAACCAATTGCACTGTCTCTCAGTGTGGACCCAATTATCCCCTTTCTTCTAGATGTTTTAGGCAAAGAGTATACCCTGCTTTAGAAGGATGTGGCCTCCCATTGGATGCTGCTCCACTAGACAACCACCTGTCCTGTGGAAGTCACCCCATGGGCTTTCCTTTTGTGTTGCTATTTCAGAAAGGAGTTCAATTTTGTAATTGGTCAGCACCAACTCCTCCATTATTTTCAACATGGGATTCTAATTCGTAGTGGTACTGAGAGGTAAGAAACATTTCTGAAGTTAACATTTCTTTGCATGGTGCATTTTTTTTCCTCTTTGAGAATGAACCTATGATCATTTGCTAGTGCTCATAGGATTATTGCACATGGGTGTTGTTGCCTTTCTGCTGGTAGAAGTCTACTGCATAATAATTATTATGACATATTGTAGCATAATACGTGTAGGGTGGAAGTTTGTTCAAGACTTGTCGCATGCACAGGACTAAACATTTTGTATGGCACTTCTGATTCTTAGTGTATGATTAAGTGGTGCCTCCCTCATATAAATTCAGTTTTAGCCTTATGAATCAGTCAACAAGCAATATGGGGAAAAAATTATCAGATTAATAAGTACAAAAGTGTCTCAGTTTTATTGGATAACATAATTCTTAATGTATATGTATATGCCATGTATATAAATCTGTTGAACAAGTGATTTAATTGGCTGCTGTGTAGGGTGTATATTAAATATGTATAGACTTGTTCATTGGTGACATTTTGTAATTATACATTTCCATGACAAAATGAAAGGTTTCAAACACACAAAATTTTTATAACAAAATAGCCAGTATTGCAGCTTTTAATATTAATCACATCTTATCATGATAACCATCATACTGGAGATTAAAATTGATTAAAGATGGTACTTAAATATTAAAAAATAGATGCAAGATATTAAAAAGGACTTTTTAAGTGAGAAATATTGCTTAGACGGAATTGACTGCACAAGATTTGATACATGTGGAGAAAATGAGTATGTAGTATTATACAAGTTTACCTCTGAAAAGGTGTCCTTCGGGAGTTCCATTACATCGTAAATATTTTTTTACGGTCACTTTTAGGTACAATTCCCATAATTTATAGACTCTTGTCCTGTAGAACCCACAATACAGAAACACAATCCAGACTAATTAAAAGAGAGTTGTGACTGGTATTGACACTTAACTGTATACATGTTCCTTTAATTTCTTACATCTATCTATCAATGGATATTTTAATCTTCCTAGAATATTCACCTTGCAGATGTGATAATATTGAAGAAAAATTGTTTGTACTTCATGAAGAACTAAATGAAATGTATGAGGTAAGTCAAGTTTCTTTTTTTATGTGTACGTATGGAATACCTTTTGAATTTCAGAGGTTGAGTATGTTACATTAAAACGATTTTGGAGCATCACCACATCATTATAGTTTATGTCGCCCTTGGCCAATTTTGCTCTATCTGATGACTATGCATCTTAACAATAGCCCTGCAGAGTGGTTTCTATAGTAAAAAACTCCATTGTAAGGCTTTCGTGTCCCTGTAGGATATCCATAATCCATCAAAAATACAAGGACACCTGTTTCCTGGTGCCCATTTCAACAATCTGATGGCACAGAAATTTAAAGGCATTGCATCTGGTGACTAGACCAATGTATTTCAGTATGGAATAGCATGAATGCTCATTTCATTCTCCAGCTGCTTGAGGTATTTAACAGTAGAACAGACTTTTCATGGAAACAACTTATGGACACATAACTTGAGTTGCTTTTCTAGAAGGCTTTTACCTCTGACATTTGTGTTTGTTACAAGAAGTTGCACTTTGCTTACCAAAGCTGAGGTATGACATTTTGCAGGACTTTTTCTGTCCCAAGGAGATCTATATTCCTTTGTTTTCCAATACCATTAAGAAAATTGTATATCCCTGCCTTGAAAAATATAAATTTATATTCTGAACACATTGTTTTTATGATCTGAGTCTGAAAATTTTGTGTCTGGAAGGGCTGGTACATACCCTTCCCACAAGTGATTATTATTGGGTGGCATCACACTACCTACAAAATGCCAAACAATGTAAAAATATAGTTCTGATGCATTCTTTACAAATCTTTACTTTATTTCATCTGTAGTTATCATGTGATTTGCTCATTCAAAATTGTTTTGATATAACACAATCAATTTTCTCTATACCAGAAAAAGCTAAATTATTGTATAGGGTTTGCAAAGTAGGTCAATTAGGACAGACAACTAAGACCATTTTTTTAACATTATTAGTTATCTAGAACACACACAAAGTAAAATATGCTGTATGTCATAAATTTCAGTGTTTTTTAAAGGGAAAGACTGAGTACTAAGAAGTGTTTGTTTATTGAAAAGTATGTCATACTTTCATCTTTTTTACAAAATAAATAAAAGCAAATATGTGATATTTTGTAATATAATTTTATTAAATATTTCAAGAAATACATTTTAGATGTGTAGTTGGTATTTTACATATGATAAGCAACACTAATTTACTTTGTCTTTTAAAGTCTACCAATTTAAGAAATATGGACAAATAACATAGAAAAATTTGCAAAAAAGAAGCAAAATCAACCGAAGTTTGATTCAAATGTTTGCTTCATTGATACATTGGAATTTTCAGGAATACATATTCTCAAATCTTTTGCATATTCAGAAACGTGATCAGAACCACTTAGAAAGTGTGTGTAGCAAAGCCTACAAGTTACAGTTAGTAAAAGTAATGTGTTTTGAAATTAATGAATATACCTTAAAATTCCAGATGTCAATTTTGAACTGCCTGATTAATTAACTTAACATTTTCAGTTAATGTTACTCAGACTTCATTGGAAATGAACCTTCTTATTTACATCCCCTTATTAGCTGGCTCCACCCATATCTGCAAGTAAATAAAAAAAAAAGGTCAGCATACAAAGCAATGGAGCAAATGATATTAAGTTCTACATGTACACATCAACATGTAATTATCTATATTAAAAGCAATAACAAAAGTGCAAAGTACCGTTTATGATGAAAAACATTTTTAATTTTTTATAAATATTTCACATTGAAAGAAATATCAAAACAATGAACTTTGTCAAGAGAAGTATATTTATAATTAATAGTTAATGGCAAAAGCTACACGTATTAAATAAATTTCAACATAAATTATAAAATAAGTATGCATTTTATATATATATTTCACTGATAATTTCCTTTATTGTGCACACCTTAAAATGTTTTGTCCTTACTGCATAAGATAGGCTACTTCATTTATTACAGACATGAAAGGCTTAAAAATATAAATATTAACAACATTCTATCATAAAACAAAAACAATGTTTTACATAATTTTCTTTGCTTTGAATAATAATACAGTAAATATACAGTTACTGTATTTTACAGCATATAAGACACACTTTGTTTCCTGAAAAAAGCCTCTAAAAATTATCCTGCTTCTAATATGTAAAGTTAAAGAAAATGCATTTTTCACTTTTACTCCATAAGCTAAATTCTGATACAGTGCATTACCTCTGCTCAAGTAAATAGTTATTTTCATTTAGTGCTGCCCTCTATATGCAGAAATTCTTTTGCACATACCTCAAGCCTTGACGTTCCCACCCATCTGGAATTGAATGATTCCAATGCATCTTGCATGCAAATCATCTTGTGACAACCCTCCACCAATAACAGTGCAACATACTCTCTTGATGCATGTGACTCCCTCTATTCAATTCTAGCAAAATGTCACTTCTTGTTTGGCAGTACTTGTGTTGTAATATTTAGTTTGTGCTTTTTTCAAGTGTTTTATTTTAATTTTTTTTCTGTATCTTTATATTAATTTCTCTCAACAAGTTTACTCTTTATTATACAATAGCAATATTTGCAACTTGTTGGGTTATTCTGAAGTGGAACTATTTTATATTTCTACCCAGATACAGAACTTATTACTTAATTACAAAAACTTTTTACTTGTTTCTGACAACACAGTTGCATTTAGTTATTCATTTTGCATTATGAATTCTACGTTACCTTTCTCTTATAACTGCCGAACCTATTTCAGATGGCCCAGATTTTGCCAGTTTCCTCCACCTTATCATGGATTGCATTCCAGGCCTCTACTGCAGAATCTGCTAGGTCTATCTCAGTTTTTAGACATGTTTCACAGTATATTCCCCTTCTCCTGACATTGCTTCATTGTTTTCAAGGTTATTTTCCATTGAATCCATTTTTCCTTCCTCTCTGACCCATTGGGTTTGGATTGTGATTCTATTAGCACTTACACAGGCTTCAGGTCGCAGTACTCCATGGGAATATTTTTGGCTTTACTTCATCGAGAGATTGATCATTCAGTGAACTGATGTTCGTTGGCCCTCGCTTCAAGTTTGGGGGCCCACACATTTTGACATACAGTCTGCAGACTTTGGAAAGATAAGACATTATGTTGTTATGGTTTTTGAATAATTGTAATTTTAATATTATTATCTGCAGTTATTTGAGTTCCATAACATAAGATTCGTCAGATTGGTCGATACTCATAGTCCAGTTCAGGTTAGAAATTAGACTTAGTTGTTTCTTTTTTCCTATTCCACTTAGGGGTCTTTGTTATTTTAGGATTACCTGTCATTCATCTTACTGGTATATCAATCATTAATTTAATTATATTGTTTTACTTCCATACATCATGATTCGTACATAGGTTATTGTTAATACACACTTATTTCATTTTATAAATTACTGTTTATGTCACTTTTATTATTATTATACTTGCAGTTAAGTTAAGATTCTTATTTTAGAGCTTAGTGATATCCTTTATCCTGCACTATTTGATTAGACTTAACATGTATCTGTTATTTTCAGTTTACCTATAGTTCTACTTGCAGATTAATTGCTAATTAAGGTAAATATCTTGATAGCTTAGGCTTAGCAAGTGTCTGTTAATTTTTGCTTACCCATGGTTATACTTTTAGATTATTTGTTAGCTCAGTTAATTAATTAACTATTTTGTTGTTTTTCAACACATAAGATGTTTTACATACATGTTATGTGTTGAAAAACATTCACTATCAAATTTCTTGCTATTAATTTTGTTTAACTTGTATTTTATTCTTCTTACTCTTACATTTGTTTGTGTGAGCCCCTGGGGGCTGGGGTCCAACCTACCTGCTCTCAATATTACTTTGCCTTCCTCTTACAACTGCTGAACCTATTTCAGATGGCCCAGATTTTGTCAGTTTCCTCTACCTTATCATGGATTACATTCCAGGCCTCTACTGCAGAATCTGCTAGGCCTATTTCAGTTTTTTTTTAAGACACATTTCACAGTATATTCCCCCTTATCCTGACATTGCTTCATTGTTTTCAAGGTTTTCTTCCATTTAATCCATTTTCCCTTCCTCTCTGACCCATTGAGTTTGGAATGTGATTTGATTGGCCTTTTACTCCTTATATCCTTCTTCCTGTCATCAATTCCTGGTATCTTCATTCCAATCATGCACCTTTTCTTTTCCCTGCATATCAAACCTGTCATCCGTTGGAGGTACTTCATTTGTTGAGCACTGGAACTATACCTCGTACGTTTATCTCCCATTCTTTACTTTGGGTAGCTGTTGTACCATCATCCACCTGTTGCCATCCTTCTCTCTTTCGTGAGACTTGTGACTGGGTAAGTTTCCTTTTAGTATATATATACCTGGTGAGTGGTGCCTGTCCAGGTATACATAAACTAGTAAAAACCACACTGTAAGGCCATGATGACTTAACAATTATAATTCCATGGCCACTAAATGCACACTGCTGAGATGGAGTGTTCCACAAGATCATTTGTAGGTTTATCTTCATGATATATTTGCTTCATTAATTTGCCTGTCCCAGACT